TTCTCTTTGGCAGTGGTAGTGGGTATAGTTGTTACAGTGGTGCATAAGAATAAACATGGCACTACTTGCGAGTTACCTCTCCCACATACCCCAAAACTTGTAAATTATGTCTTTTAGAGAGGAAGTATATGAGTCAAGGTAACTTGATAAATACCAAATTCGAGTACTTGCTTCTCTCAGGCCCCTTCCACACAGCTGTATAAAATCATCACTGAACTGGATTATATGGCAGTGTGGATTCAGATAATCAAGTTCAAAGCCGTTACTGTGAATTATCTGCTTTGATATTCTGGGTTGTGTGGTTGTGTGGAAGGGCCCTCAGTTCCAGGTTCAAGGCATTTGCACTACAATGACTCTTACAGATCAGCTCATACTTTACAAATAATACTACCAAACCTTAACCATACTGGTAGAGAAATAATTAAACAAGGCTGTCCATGTTTTAGAGAACCTGCAAATGTCAATAATATGCAGATTTGAATACTGTGCAGCTTTGCATAGCATGCAAATTAATTACCCAAATTTAAGGAATGTAAAATGTTGCTCTGTTTGTTGTTCTTGTGTGCTTTCAAGTCATTTCTGACTGATGGCAAACCAAAGATGAACTTATCACAACTGATGCTATTGGTTGTGGGTTTGGAGAGTAGACCATGTTATTATTAAACACTAATTGTTGGGATTAAAGTTTTTCTACTCTCCAAACCCACCACCATGTGAGTGATGTTTCTTCAATGAAGCCAGTCTTTTCCATCCTCTTCTATATTCCAAAAATCCCCAAATCTGTTTTGGGATATAAGGAAGCTGCAGGAGAGAGGGGGTGTCAGTTCTGCTGGTGTATGCATAATATTGTAAAGAAGCCGAAAGAGTAAGAAAACCAATTTTATATAGTTTTCGACAAAGATATATTTTCACAGGAATAACAGGCTGTAACTCTCATGATTTTCTATGGCAATAACTGTTTGAAAGATGTGTCCATAGTGACACAATCCAAGTGCTACAAGGCAAGGAAGTGACCTGTGCACTTATACAATAAAGGTAGTTTATTGAACAAATAAATAAATGGAATAAAATAAAATAAGAGTACAACTGTAATAAAACTGCTGGAATTCAGTGATGCACTCTTACCATAAAATGTCTTTTAAAATGAAACAAAAACAAAGCACTGAGGAACACAAAAGATCCATCTGAAATATACAAAATAAAAGTTTACATTCTAGTGTTGCTTTACTTTAACTTCGTCCACATTTTCTCTTGGAGTGTGTGGAAGATATAGTTCTTCTCCAAGACTTTGTGATCTTTTTATGAGCAGGGAGTCCACTGAAGTACTAAGGAATTGCTAATGCTAGACTTGAAGAGTTGAAACCAGTATGGGATGTTGCAGGGCAGTGAAAGGTCCGGGGTCTTCAGCACGGCTCCCTTGAATGGGATGCAGTGACACTGATTTATACCAGTTGAGACTCTTGCCCCCAACACTGATCTCTGTGCAGCAAAGATCATAACTGCAAGATCTATGGTTTGGGGAGAAAACAAATGCCTCTACGCTAGTGCCACCTGGTGGGTTTTGAAATGCATCACTTGCCAAGAAACAGTGAGAAAATGAATTTTCTCGAAGAACGAAGCAGCCAGTAACAATGAAAAAAAAAGTTCCTGAATATTGATTTAGGATCTGTTTTCTCCTTCCTTCCCTCTCCCCTGGAATAATAATATTATAAGGACTGGAGGTGGCACAGGGACATGGCTTATAAATGGCAACACAAAGAATGAAGCAGCTCTGGAAATAAACTCACTAGAGTTTCAGAGTGCGGTTGATGTTTATTATGACCAAACCCTTTACAGGATTAGTTGATGTACATCCGCAAATGAATTCTGGTCCCCTCCCCCCCAGGTTTCCATTATTCAGTGTGTTGTCGAAGGCTTTCAGCATTCTGTGAAAGCCTTCGACAACACCGGTTTCCAGCATTTGTTTTTGGACTTGATTCATGCTTCATTTCTTCCCTCCCTCCCTCTTTGTGCTTCTGCTCTCGTTCTCTCCCTCTCTTTTTCTCATATGTTTTCTCTTATATGGTTTGGTCACCTTGTCTAATCAATTACTCTCCAGTCCTGTTGAAATTGCCTTTATAATACCAACTTCTAGACTAGCGAGAACAGAGGTTCCCTGGTTCATTCACAGTATGGTTTCAAAAGTGGGTGCTCTCTGCTTTAGGACCTTCAGCCCAAGATGTTGCTTTTATTTCCAGGATCCAAGAATCAGGAAAATGAGTGTCAGTGGCAGATCCAGCCTGTAGAAAGTTGCCATGCTGCTGCGTTTTGTCTTTTTTCCCTCTCACACAGCCTTCAAGTCATTTGTCATGCATTTTTTATAATGTGTTGAACATTTTGAAGGGTTCAGATGTAAGGTGAAAATGTTGACAGCTTCATCCAGGATTTCTGCATGCTACGTAACCCTGATTTTAATGAGTTTTCCATGTTTCAAGATGTAGCAGCTATATTAAGATTCTTT